TAAAGTTATGAATCGGTTGACTGAAGCTTTGCTGCTTATAGCATCTCCACCTTCGTGAAAGGTAAAAGGTCAATGCCAGGGTCTCACGATGTGAGCAACGAGACTAACGTTAGCACAGCATGGTTTGCGAAGTCGGTACATGTCCGACAACACCGACATGATTTACAGTGCACCATCAGATCTAAAAGTTTGGAAGACATTCGGATTATATAAGAAGTAGATTTGTCGGACTGCAATTAAGTACAACACTAGAGCTGCTAATACAGCTAACACTCAAGACACGGATATTAAACACTTTCCATCCACAACTTAGCTACAACTCTGCAAGGTCACGGCAGAAAAGTCTTTTTGACTGTGTATTTTATTAAAATGTATGTATTTGAAGGTAAGCAATGTCACTTTTATAGAATTGGCTTAGAACTGTATCAGACCGTGTCGAATTGTACCAAATTGTTCCATATTAAAATGCATCTTCCCTGAATGGTATCGTAGCCCATCTATCTAGATACGTATCAGATAGTCTTAGTCTGTACCAAATTTAATAGCAATCCATCCATGATTTGTTTACATATATCACTCTGGACTATAGTAGTGGACTAACCAACATTGCCATCCCTAGAGCCAAAAAGAACTGAGTGGATGGTAAACCATGAGCAGCTGCAGGAACAAGATAGTTTTACTGCATCTGGGTGTGAGATAGTTTAAGGCTATGAGGCTTGTCATCTAATAATCTATCAAAGCAACTATGAAACAGGAATTGAAATAAAATGTGTCAGGCTAATTAAAGTTGTATCTTAAATTACTGAATTTACTCACATGGTCACATTTCTTATTGTTACTGCTACCTACCTACCCGCTAGCAGGTATGCTTACCATTGTTATGTGTAAGTGACGGATCACCTAACCTATTATATGTCATTCTGTAGGGAACCTGTCTGTTTGATGGCAGTCCATCCATGAATTGTCTTGAAACAATAGTCTAAACCAAAAAATGTCACCCTGCTGGTGGTGCCACATGTAAATTCATAGGATTACCAAAGTAAGAAGGACCCGAATGCCTGTGCGAAATTTTGTGCCAATCCATCTAGTATACATTCGGATAGATTTCCACTTTATAATTAAAAACTTTGACCAGCTGTCTCAACAAAATTTAGTCCATGCCATATTTGTTAAGAGGTGGATATACAAATTTACCATGATTGACATCCTTATAGTCATGGAGTGGCTAGATTGAATAAAAATTGTATAGATTTGTCTCCCAGTTTGCCTGATATGGTAAAGGGTAGAGCCCATATTTGTAAAATGTATTTAATTCAATTTCTATTTTTCAAACACAAGAGGATCTTGGCGAACAGAGAATAGTGTACTTGTTACCCCTTTGAAAACAAGGCACTCTGATTATAACAACACAGATTTTCTAGTGTCACCAAGTCTTAGTTGCTATGTAAGTTCACAACTAAACTAACAGCTTGGGCAAAACAGTTTGTTTTTTCAGGTTGGAGGTTGAGGACTTGTTCCAATTAAAAGCCAAAGACAATTTTTAGGCCATATTTAAAAACTGAAAAATGAAGAACTTAAAGATTGGTATTGGGGCTGGTACATGCAGGCATAATTTGATCCTTTCGCCACTGTACTTAGTCAGGCTCTGCAGTGCAGCATTTCACTGCATACCAGTATACCAGGTTTCACTAATTTCTCTAATTTGTGCCTCCTCGTCTCCTCTCTCCTCCGTCCTCCTGCCTGTGACCTGGAAATCGATCTGTCTGTGCTGTTCTGAAGGATGTCTAAATCCCTAAAATGCATCTTGAGGAGAGAGGAGGCTCGCTGCAGGAGCTATGAGCAAAGATGCACACGTGTGTATCCTTTCCAGGACGTGTAAAAGAGGCGTGGCAGTGGACAGATGGGACAGCTGTGCCACATGTCATATTTAATGGATGGCTCTGAAGCGAGAATGTCTCATTTTGTTAAAAGCCTGTTGCCTCGACCGCTCTTTCCTCATGTCTCCTCTCAACCTCCTCCACTGGCATCTCACAATCACAAGTGGACTAAAACAGTATTAGTCACAATCTGTCTGCAGATTGAATACATGAAGTGTGAGTTTCTTTCAGCAATCTTTGAAATTGAACAAAAAAAAAAGCTTGAAATATAAATACATTTTTAATGCTGTTATTTTGAGACCAGTTAATTATTTTGTTATCCCGAAAAAATTAGATGATCAACAAGAAAATAAAAGGTTGCTGGACTTTAGTCCTCTATGACAGTA